TTGGCGTCGGTTTGGTCTCCAAGTGGGAGATTGTTAATTTGGGGGTGGATACCAACCTCTGCACCGGCGAGGAGCTCCGACGAGCTCGATGTCGACGAGGCGAAGCCACAGGTGAGGTCCAGGCTATCTTCGGCAGCGCCCCCCCGAGCTCTGCGTTCGAGCTCGAGCCCCACGTGCGAGCGCCTCCACCCAACTCTGCGTTCGAACGCAACCCTGCGTTTGGCGATGGCGTCCTTTGCGTTCGAGCGCTCCCACCTCTGCGTTCGGCCTCGAATTTGGCGTCGAAGCAGTCGCTGGCGACAGGCTGTCGCCAGCCCTCCACCTCCGCCTATAAAAGAGACCCCATGCCCTAGGGTTTAGCTGCTGAAGAACTTCCCCCTCTCCTCCGATTTCTCCTTCTCTGGTGGCGGCGGCTGCCCTAAAATCGCAGAGGCGATTTTTCTCCAGCTCTCAACGCGATTTTGAGAGAGAGAGAGGGGATTTAAAAGGAGAGAGAGAGAGAATTAAAGAGGGTTTAATTGTGGGGTATCATTTATTCTCAAGTTGAGAATTGAAAGGGGTTCATACCCTTTGATTATTAACACTGTAGCTACAGTGTTTATCAGAGAAATCTCAGTTTTGAGATACGCTCCTAAATTGTAATTTCTTGTTTAATTAATAAGAAATTATCTGTGTGGCTCCCGAGGACGTAGGCAGTTGCCGAACCTCGTAAATCTTGTGTATTTTTTCTATTCTGCGTTTCTGTTGCATTAGGGATTTCGGCGTTAGATTCCCAACAACTGGTATCAGAGCGTGAAACGATCTAGAACAAGTCAGATTCAAGTGGGAGCCATGGCCACAGATGAGGCAAAAATGAGACTTGAGAAATTTGATGGAACAGATTTCGGATTCTGGAAAATGCAGATAGAGGATTATCTGTATCAGAAAAATCTGTATCAACCACTATCGGGGAAGAAGCCAGATTCTATGAAGGAAGAAGAGTGGAACCTTCTAGATAGACAAGCCCTCGGAGTTATCAGATTGACGTTGACTCGCAATGTTGCGTTCAACATAGCGAAGGAGAAGACCACGGCAGGTCTTATGCCAGCTCTCTCAAATATGTATGAGAAGCCATCAGCCGCAAATAAAGTTCATTTAATGCGGCAGTTATTCAATCTGAAAATGGCGGAAGGCGCGTCAGTAGCACAACACCTCAATGAACTTAATACGGTTACAACCCAATTGAGTTCAGTTGAGATTGAGTTTGATGAAGAAGTTCGGGCGTTGATATTGTTGTCTTCCCTACCAGAGAGTTGGAACGCTACAGTCACAGCTGTGAGTAGCTCGTCGGGAAAGAAAAAGTTGAAGTTTGACGACGTTCGTGATTTGGTTCTCAGTGAGGAGATCCGACGGAGAGAAACGGGTGAAGCTACAACCTCTTCAGTATTGCATACAGAGTCAAGAGGTAGAAATTCAACCAGAGGAAACGGACGAGGAAAATCAAACTTCAGAGGTAGATCAAAGGACAGGAGGTCCAAATCAAGGAATCCAAGCAACAGCTCGAAGGCTATCGAGTGTTGGAATTGTGGAAAGACCGGGCATTACAAGAATCAGTGCAAGAGTGCACAGAAAGAGAAGGAGGCAAAGGCAGAGGTGAATGTCACATCCACTTCAGGAGGAGACGACGCATTGATATGCTCTTTGGAGAGCAAGGAGGAATCTTGGGTGTTAGATTCAGGAGCGTCGTTCCACGCTACTTCTCAGAAAGAATTCTTCGAGAAGTATACCCCCGGAAAACTTGGATACGTATATCTTGGTGATGATCAACCGTGTGCTATAGTGGGCAAAGGCGTGGTGAAAATTAAGTTGAACGGGTCAGTATGGGAGCTGAAGGATGTCAGGCATATTCCCGACCTGAGAAAGAATTTAATATCCGTAGGCCAGTTGGCTGGCGAAGGATACACCACAACCTTCCATGGAGGTGATTGGAAGATCTCAAAGGGCGCAATGACGATTGCCCGAGGCAGGAAGACTGGTACCCTATATATGACAGCAGGTGCACGTTGTTCGATCTCAGTTGCAGCAGGCAATGAGACTTCAAAGCTGTGGCACCAGAGACTCGGTCATATGAGTGAGAAGGGGATGAAAATCATGCATACAAAGGGAAAACTCCCAGGAATGCAGTCAGTGGAGATGGATATGTGTGAAGAATGTATACTTGGAAAGCAGAAGAGAGTCAGCTTTCAGACAAGTGGCAGAACCCCCAGGAAGCAGAAGCTAGAGCTCGTTCACTCAGATGTTTGGGGACCAACCACCACTGCGTCGATTGGTGAAAAACACTACTTCGTGACTTTTATCGATGATCACACTCGGAAAGTATGGGTCTACTTTCTGAAACATAAGTCAGAAGTGTTTGAGGCTTTCAGAAGATGGAAAGCCATGGTCGAGAATGAGACCGGTCTGAGAATAAAGAAGCTCAGGACCGACAATGGCGGTGAGTATGAAGACACCGGATTCAAGAAGTTCTGCTATGAGCACGAGATCAGAATGGAGAGAACCGTGCCCGGCACGCCTCAGCAAAATGGTGTAGCTGAGCGGATGAACCGAACGTTGATAGAGAGAGCCAGAAGCATTCGTGTACAGTCAGGCCTACCGAAGCAGTTCTGGGCAGAAGCAGTCAACACAGCAGCTTACTTGATCAACCGAGGTCCATCGGTTCCATTGGAGCACAGAATACCAGAGGAGGTATGGTGCGAAAAGGAGGTAAAACTCTCACATCTTAAAGTTTTTGGTTGTATAGCTTATGTGCATATTAGTGATCAAGGCAGGAATAAGCTTGATCCCAAGTCAAAGAAATGCACTTTCATCGGCTATGGTGAAGATGAGTTCGGTTACCGCATTTGGGACAACGAAAACAATAAGGTGATCAGGAGCAGAGATGTGATATTCAACGAGAAGGTGGTGTACAAGGACATGCACAAGACAGATGACTCAGAGAGCGAGTCAATATTTGTAGATGCAGATGATGTCCTGAGTAACCTCTCGGAAGAACCCAATGCAGAAGATCCTTAGCCAGAAGAGCCTGTTGGACAAGATGGTGCGCAGGAGCCCGACGCACCAGCTCCCATATTAAGAAGATCTTCTCGTCCTCCTGTACCCAACAGGAGATACATGAACTATCTGTTGTTGACAGATG